GGTGTTCTCTGTATTACCTGGAGTTGAATATTGGCCTGCCTTGCTAGGTTGGGAAAGTTTTCCTGAATAATATCCTGAAGAGTATTTTCCAGCTTGGATTGATTCTCTTCGTCACATTCAGGTACACCTATCAAGCGTAGATTAGTTCTTTTCACATAGTCCCATATTTCTTGGAGACTTTGCTCGTTCCTTTTTATCCTTTTTTCTCTAATCTTGTCATCTTGTTTTATTTCATTAAGTTGGTCTTTGACTTCTGATATCTTTTCTACTGCTTGATCAATTCAGCTGTTAAAACTTGTGCATAGTTCTCGAAGTTCTCGTGTTGTGTTTTTCAGCTCCATTAATTCACTTACATTCCTCTCTAAATTGTGTATTTTTGTTAACATTTTGTCAAACCTTTTTTCAAAGTTCTTAGTTTCTTTGCATTGGGTTAGAACAAGTTCTTTTAATTCACAGAAGTTTCTTATCCACCTTTTGAAGGCTGCTTCTGTTAATGGAACACACTCGTTCTCCATCAGGCCTTGTTCCGTTGCTGATGAGGAACTGTGATCCCCTGTAGAGGGAGAGGCGTTCTGATTTTGGATATTCTCAGCCTTTTTAGGCTGTTTTCTTCCCTTCATTATAAATTTATCCATCTGTGGTCTTTATAATTACCGTCTTTATAAGTGGGTTTCTGAGTGGACGTCCAACTTGTTGATGCCCAGCGCTAAAATCTGAGCAACCCACTGCCAGCCAAAACAGCGGTGCTTTTTGATGGTGCTTTTCTGACTCTGCACCAAGAACCACCGCACGAAGGCAGCGGCAAAACCGCCTTGCCAGCCACAAGAGTCACGCTGGCGACCCGTGGGGCTCCTCCGCTGGGAATCTCCTGGTGCGTGAGCAACAAAAATTCATCTGAAACTGTGGCATCCTCTCGTTCTCTGCGCTTTCACTGGGAGCTACAATCCTGAGCTGCTAGTGATCAGCCATCTTGGATCTCTCTCCTTTTTTTTTCTTTTAAAATAATCTTTCTGTGTGGAGTCTGACTTCTGGAGTGGTTGAGCTCATAGCCATACATGCCACCAGCCTCTCTGCTCACCCGTTAGCACCTCCTCCTAGTAGGAGGCTTTATCTGGGATTTGACTTATGCAAAATGAAATGAACAAAAAAGGGGCAATTTGCCTTTCCTCCTGATATTCTTGCATTTCAGAGCTCGATAGCCTTTGCTAAAAATGGAGCATGGATCCTGGATTACTGTCTACTTTATGTGGTTGAGTGTATTTTTTTCAAGTTGCTTATGGAAGAAAACATCACGATCATTTTGGTGTAAATTCCAAGTGATGTTCCCAGTCATCTTCTATAGACTTCCTGCTGTGATTGGCCCATCTAAATAAAATAGTCAGTTAAAGACATAAGTAACCTACTTTTAAATACATGTTTACTTTGATTTTCTATCTATATCTAAAGTTAAGAGGGACATTTTGAGCACTAGACTATCTCAGGCTGCCAGAGGTCATTTCATTTTCTCCTCTGCTTGTGTGCTAGTGATACCTTTAACACTGGTATATAGAAAAGAAATGTCTTTGGGATATTTCCAGGAAGGCCCATGGAAGCTCTTTTTTGCTTAAATTGAGCAATGCCGAAGAGCTCATCAAAATGAATGAGGGCAATGGGAAGTCTGGGTCCTAGCTCTGAACTCTTCCAGATCAACATGGCTCTGCCTGGACAGTTCCAAGTGAGAAGAACCAAAAGTTCTATGCCTTGGTCAATATGGGGGTGGGGTGGAGGGTACCATTAATCATATTAGTGCTCCCAGTAACTGGTTTGGGGTGTTGATGAAAGTGTGTGTCCCATGCCTGGTAGGTACATAGTGGATGGCTTGCCAAGAGGCCCTCTGGTTGACATGCTGGGGCAGAGGGGACCCCCTCAGCCTTTCCTCCCACCCAGGGTTCCCCTAGTCTCAGCTGCAACTCCATTTTACACATTGTGCCTTACATTTCAAGTAGGTTTTGAGCCCAGCTCGGTAAGGTAGCATACTCACGTCATCCTGAACCCTGGGTTCTCCAAGTTTTGGACTCATGATAATCCCAGCTCTTAATTATTGACTGGCGGAGACTTTTCTAGAATTTCTATAATTATTCCCTGAAACAAGCTAGATGATGTTTTTACTGACCACATAAAAGTTCTCTTCTCTCTTGCATAAGCAATATATAAATATATTCTCTTCACTTGCCCTGACCTAGTTCAGATCTGCTTCCAGAAGAGTCCACCCTTGTGCCTTGGCCTGTGCACCTCAGCCTACAGTTTTGTGTACTCTTACACGTACATCCAGGGGCCTGTAGAAATCATCCAGAGTTGTCAGGGTGGGTTCTTTTCCCCAAAGGTGAATGGTGTCACCCAGTGTGTGTCATTCCACGGCTTGTTCTTTCAACTGAATGCCGTATCTGAGAGCTGGCCATGTTCTATGGAAATACGGGTCATTCCTCTGAAGAACTGCCTGGGCTTCCATGAAATAAAAAGAGCAGAGTTTGCTTAGCATTTTCTCTTCATTTCATAGATGATAAAACACAGATCCAGGAGGATTAACTGACTTACTCAAGGTCTTCCAGCTACTAAGCAGTAGAGCATGGGTGAGAGCCCAAACTGGGCGGATTTCTCCTGCATGCCTGGCTCCTCCCATATCATCAGGTTTCCTTTCAAGACTGCCTTCTTTCACTTCTCTGCACTATCCTCTCACCTGCTTTGCTTTAGGAGCTACATTAGGCTTGAGGTTTCTGCCATGAGTGTCCTAATTCCTGGGGCCAGATCTATACTGACCTAGGAAGTACTTGAGGATGAACATTTTGAAAAAACATTTTACACAGTCAGGGGGTGTCTTTCAGCATTTTAAATATTTTATTTCATTTTGCTAACCAGGTAGTTTTATAAACGCTTGGGCTGTCGTAGCCTTTCAAATCTTTTAAAGATTTTTCTCCAGCAGGGTCTGCTTCCCATATTTAACAGGAAAGTGTGTAGGAGGGATATGGGGAGCAATTGCTTGGGGGAAATATTGCCCTCACAAACATGAATATGGCAATCACAGTGGTTCCTACACAAAGGTTTATGGTGGTATCATGGATCAACAGGAATTTCTGTTTGTGAAATGGCTGCAACATCAGAACGGGAGGATAGGCTGAGTAACTTGGTTGCTTTATAAATGAAAGGGCTTTTATCCTCCCAAAGCCTTTCACAGTATTCGAGACTCAGTGGCTAGTTCTGAAGAGGATCCATTCTTGAAAATGGCCCATTTAGCAGCACTTTGAGAAGTCATCAGCGAGTACTCAAGGATGGACTGTCTCAGAAAAAAAAAATGTTGTTAAAAAAGCCCTGTTTGTAAATTCTGCTTACCCATGGTATGAACTATTTTTTTGCATCTCAGTAACATGATTTGGAACTTCACATAGATGTATTTGAACATAAAATTTTAAAGCCATTGTTGCCCCAGCTATGTGCTACAGACCCTGCCCCCCCCACCACGGATCGACCACCTGGTTAGTTTTCTGAGAGTTTCTGCGGGAAAGGTTTACAATGGCTGGTTCCTGGTTTGATGTCATATCGATAAATTATGGTGCTTTAAACAGATGTGATCTCACAGCGTGGAATTCTTCAGGGTAAAGCTCATGAAAAGGTTTTTTTCCCCCTCTTGGTTTCATTGTAGTTTTGTTGTTTGGAGGTTTTATGTTGTTCATTTAGTTCCCTGGCTTTTGGGGTTTTACAGTCGTATTTCCTTTGTTTAATATAATTTCATTTTTTTTCTTTTAGCTATTTTTGTTAGGGTGCCCAGAGGCTTCAGTTATGAGTGGCTGTAAAGTAAAATATATTATGATTATTACAATGATAAAGTATAAGCTTTTAAGAGTCTGCTTATATTGACCCATATATTCTCTTTTTTCCTCTCTCCAAGATACACACAGAGGCACACTGGAAACACAGTAGAAAACGGCTGCCAATTTCAAACCGGAAGTTAAGAAGAGCAAACTCGAATGTACAGCAAGAGGGCTTCAGGCTGGACTAGCTTCCAGCAGAAGTGAAACTGAAAACCTTGGATTCTATTGTCTCTTCTCTGTGATGTGGGAAAATAGGTCAGTATCTGAACTTGAACTTGGTCATTACTGCTCATTTCCTAACCTTTTCCAAGCCACGTAACTCCCCTGAGGCTTAGTTTTCTCATTTGTGAATTGCGGGATGATATGTTCATGAGGCTGCTGTAAAGACTGAATGAGATAATGTTTATAGAAGCACCAAGCATGGCCTCTGTCATACAATAGGTGCTTAATAAATATGAACTGGAGTACACATGCACTCTGCTCCCTCCTGCTCCCTCATAATGCCTGGCCTGGCTCTGGGCTCCCTGGGATATGGTAGGTTACCAAAGCAGGCACTAAGGCATGTCTACTCTTGGTACCTTATTACCAAGGTTTCCCGTGCCACCTGTTTCATTCTAGACACAGATTTCAGGCCTCCTTCCAACAGAACCTCACTTCTGCTAGCTGTCATGTTCAAAAAGGGACTGATGACCACTCAAGCGTGATATGATAGTGATTTATGAATGTCATTCCTCCAGACAGCATTTGGATTATTACAGGTTTTTATTTGCTTTTATTCAGTACTAAAAAGGCATTGATAGCCAAAGGAAAGTCTCTTTAATGGTGGGATTTAGGCATTATGGCACTTTTCCTTATGGAGCAGGAGAAGGATTTTCATCCTGAGACCCTCTATGTCATACCCCATAGGTCACTGCTGAGTCTCTCTCTACTCATACTGATCTCTTTCTCACTGGGTTGAAATAGTGTCCTCCCAAAATTCATGCTGGAATCTGTAAATGTGATCTTATTTGGAAATAGGGCTACTGCAGATATAATCAAGTTAAGATGAGATCATATTGGACTAGGGTGAGGCTTCACTTCAATATGACTGATATCCTTATAAGAAAAAGGAAATTAGGCTGCAGACATAGACTCACAAGGAATCAGACTATTTGAAGACAGCAGCAGAACTAGGAGTGAAGCATCTACAAGCCAAGGAATGACAAAGTTTGCTGGCAACCACTAGAAGCTGGGGAGGCATGGGAGGATTCTCCTCTAGGGCCTTCAGAGGAGGCATGGCTTGGGCAACACCTTGATTTCAAACTTCTAGCCTCCAGGATTTGGAAAGAATAAACTTCTGTTGTTTTAAGCCACCTAGTTTGTGGGTTGTTTTTTTTTTTTTTTTTTGAGATGGAGTCTTGCTCTGTTGCCCAGGCTGGAGTGCAGCGGTGTGGTCTGGGCTCATTGCAACCTCCATCTCCCAGATTCAAGTGATTCTTCTGCCTCAGCCTCCCAAGTAGCTGGGATTATAGGCGCATGCCACCAAGCCCAGCAAATATTTTGTATTTTTATTAGAGAGAGGTTTTCACCATGTTGGCCAGGCTGGCCTCAAACTCCTGACCTCAAGTGATCTGCCCATCTCAGCCTCCCAAAGTGCTGGGATTACAGGAGTAAGCCACCGCGCCCAACTTAGTTTGTGGTGCTTTCTTACAGCAGCCCTTGAAAACACACTTGACTGAGCAGGATGCTTGCTGGATGGTCTAGTGAGCCCAGCCACAGGGAGGGGTGAAGTGGAGATTTTGATGGCAGGTAGCCGACGTTGGCTAGGACTGTGCTTGGCGTGTATAGCAGGAGGAATGCGCTCTTCAGGTGGAGCAAGGGCAGGTGTAGGTTGTGTGGTGGACAGTGTTACAGGGGTATCTGAGAGCAAAGAAAGTGCTGTGAGAAACTACCTGTTCAATAGGAGTGTCCCTCATTTTAGGAAAAGAATGCACTTGGAAGTATTTCAGGGGAGCTAAATTTTTCCTGACTTCTCTAGGAGAAAGTGAAGTTTGAAGAGATCATTGAAATTTCAAGAAAGTAGGAATCTCCTTATAAAGTGAAAATCCACCCCGTCCCAACCTAGGTATTTTTTATTTTGGAAGTTCCATCTCTATGCTTGTGAAAGTGAGGGCTTCCTGAAAAGCAAAGTATCTACTTCTGAGAGTTCAAGAAGATTTGGGAAAGGGAAGGAGGCCGATTTTCACTCATTTGCTAGAGACAAGAAAAAAAAAATCATACAATTCTTCTAATTTAAGAATTCTAGAGTAATCTCTTTAAACACTTGAAAATTCATTTCTGAATGTTAAGGAATAGAATTTAGCAAGAAGAGGCTATTTTGTGTCAAAATAGAGGAGAGCCATACTTGATCGTTTGAAATAGCAGAGAAAAACAGTGCTGTTGAACCATCCGTTCAACAAACACTTCCAAGGCACTCAGTTGGGCACCTAGGGAGAAAGATACTAATAAGCTTGATCCCTGCCCTCGATGGCATGGTTAATAAGATGGTTTGTGAGGGGATAGACAGATTTGTAAATATGTAATCATAGCAATAGCTAACATGTTTGAACACCTACAAAATACTAGGCCCCATGCCAAGTTCTCTACATGCAAGACAGCATCATTTATCCTTCCATAACCATATGAGGTGGTTCTATTACTCATCCCATTTTCCAGATGAGGGCACTGAAGTTTGGAGGGAATAAATAACTTGCCTAGTGTCATTCACCTAAGTAAGTGGCAGAGCTGAGATTCAAACTCTACTCTGAGGCCCTGAAGACTCTACAGGTATTGATCGACTTACGACCCGTGCAACTTACGACCATTCGACTTTACAACCACAATCGCTAGCTACGACTGCTCCGCGTCCGGCAGTGCAAATGTTGCCCAGCTGGGCGTACGACAGTGTGGACCAGCTTCCGGCAGCACTACCATCTCCGCGTGCACCATTTCAACTGTTATCCCAGACTCGGTACAGCAATTTGTGTTTTGTGTCTTGGATATTTTTCATCAAACCCCTCCCAATAAACTTCTTATACATTTCGAAGCAATGGACCCAAACATCGAACGATTTGCAAGGATTGAACGGATGGTGCATGATGTGTTTCGTCTGTATCGTGAAATTTATGAAGAAAAAAAGAAACATACAATTCAGACAAAGCTCACCATGTTTATGAAAAAACCAACTCCTGTAACCTCAACTGCTGCCTCAGATGATGACATCGACAATCCGCAGCCAAGCACCAGCGGCCAATAAAATGTTTCGTACATGTTTATATATTTTGATATGTTTTGCAATTGGGAAAATGTTTCCTATGGTATTTTTTACACCTGTATTTTGTATTTTTGTATGCACCTATATTTTGTAATTTTCTACGTTTTGCAAATATTAAACCAGTTGTACTGGTAATGCAGTGTTTTACTTAAACCTGACGAATGTAAAAATAAGAAACAAAATGGTGTAGAGATGATACAAATGGCATAAAAGGAACAAAGAAAATTATGATATATAACAATAATGAAAGAAAATTATGATAAAATATGACTTAAAGATTTTTATAACATCATTTCACAGTACTGTACATATAGCCTACTCAACTTACGACCAAATCATGTTACGACCGGTCTGTCGGAACCAATCGTGGTCGTAGGTCGAGCACTAGCTGTACTCTTCATCCTGACAAGTGGTTGGGATGTATCTGCTGTGTGGGTCCAACAGCCAGACTCTTTGTGTTCAAATGGCATATACGTACCTGCCGTTAACTTGCCCTTAAACAAATTACTACTAGGTTTCTCTGATGAGGTTATAGAGTTGTTGTGAGAATGAAGTGGTTTAATGCAGACCAGGTGCTTAATGTAGCACCTGACATGACAAAGACAGTCACAAAACAGCAGCTTTTGTTACTACATGGGCAGGGGCTACTGCAGATGATGCCCAGAGAGCTGTGAAGAATGAGGGGTCCCGGTTGCTCTCAGTTGGGACAGCAGGACACAGCTTGCAGATTAGAGTCTGCCCCCTTCTGCATTGTACTTTGGTCCTTCTCTAGGCATGAATCAGGACAAAAAGATATTAAAAGGGAAGAAGTTAAAAGCGAGGCTTGTGTGTATGGAGCTTTGGAATGGTGGGCTAGGGGTGCGTGCTGAGATGAGGGAACAAACATTAGCAGGTTGACTTTTATAGAATCCCATTTTAAAAGTGATATTTAATGGCTTCTGTGGGTCTCTTTAAATGAATTCCACCATATTATTTGGTAGATAGGCCAAATAATGGGCTGAGGATGCAGGTATGCTAGTTAAGTTCCCCTAGCAGAATTGCTCCCAGGCTAGGTGGGTTAAGGGGATTAAGAGCTTGTTAAAAGTGAAGTGCTGTATGGTAGCTGCCAACAGTTGGAAACACCTTACCTCAAATCATTTGAATGCAAGAATACTAAAACAAAGTTAGTTCTTTGAAAACAGCAATGGTTTCTGAAATGGTTCTGAGAAAACAGCAGGTTAATTTACATGATAGGATATTTTGCTTGAGACTGAGAATAGTCTAAAGCTGCTGGTTCTGGTGGCATTTTGAAGTGCAGAGCCTTGAACTTGAAGCCAGTGCTTGGCTGACTTCTATGCAACCTTCAAATTTGGCTCAAACATCACCTCCTCTAGGAAGCCTTCCCTGAGCTCCTTATCTATGCTCTCAAAGCACATTCTGAACACCTCTATTATAGTGTTCACCGTATTTTGTTGGAGTGATCTTTTCAGAAAATTTTTCTCCTAACTTCCACTTCTGTCTTATTTCTAGCACCACGGACTTGGCACACAGTAGGTACTCAAGCTAGTCAAGCTAAAGTAGATATTGCTAGGTTACGAGGAGAAGAGAAGGGGGAATGAAGACAGAAAGCGAGGACTCTAAGGCTGCTGACAATAGTCTTTCATTTCATCATCTTACATCAAACAGACCCTGGCTCTACATATTTGAATTTAAAATCCAATGTATTGTTAATCTGTCCCCTTTTATAGACTAATTCTTTACTCCCCATCCAGACCTGGAAACACTACAAACCTCAGGCAGTTCGTGTTACTTTCTTCGAAGCAAAGCAAGCATGGCTGGCTTAGGTTCAAGAGAAAGGAGGGAAATTGATCCATCTTTCCTTTCCTACCCTCCAAGAAAAAAAAGGAGACCAGTTTAGCTTAGGCAAAATTCCCTGTCAAGCAGGGACCAACAGCTTGCGAAGAGTTTCTATACTGTCCAGTCAATGGTGCCACCCTTTGTCTCTGTAACCTGCTTCTCCAACATGGTGGGCAATGGGGAAATTTTGCACAAACAGTTTCTGATCAGCTGTGTCATCTGGGGGCAGCTCTACCATCTGTGCCTGAGATGTCAAAAACAATGCTTCTAAGTATCTTCTCAGGCAGCTTGGGATGATCTCAAACTTGAGGAAAGAAACAGGGTAAAAATTACATACCATT